ACCAGTGTTGCATCACTGAGACAGTGGTACACCAGTGTTGTTGCATCACTGACAGTGCTACACCAGTGTTGTTGCATCACTGACACAGTGGTACACCAGTGTTGCATCACTGAGACAGTGGTACACCATTGTTGCATCACTGAGTGGTACACCAGTGTTGTTGCATCACTGACAGTGCTACACCAGTGTTGTTGCATCACTGACAGTGGTACACCAGTGTTGTTGCATCACTGACAGTGGTACACCAGTGTTGTTGCATCACTGACAGTGGTACACCAGTGTTGTTGCATCACTGACAGTGCTACACCAGTGTTGTTGCATCACTGACAGTGCTACACCAGTGTTGTTGCATCACTGACACAGTGCTACACCCGTGTTGTTGCATCACTGACAGTGCTACACCAGTGTTGTTGCATCACTGACACAGTACTACACCAGTGTTGTTGCATCACTGACACAGTGGTACACCAGTGTTGTTGCATCACTGACACAGTGGTACACCAGTGTTGTTGCATCACTGAGTGATACACCAGTGTTGTTGCATCACTGACAGTAGTATACCAGTGCTTTTGCATCACTGACACAGTGGTACACCAGTGTTGCTGCATCACTGATACAGTGATACACCAGTGTTGTTGCATCACTGAGTGATACACCAGTGCTGTTGCATCACTGACACAGTGGTACACCAGTGTTGCTGCATCACTGATACAGTGATACACCAGTGTTGTTGCATCACTGATACAGTGGTACACCAGTGTTGTTGCATCACTGATAGTGGTACACCATCACTGATAGTGGTACACCATTGTTGCATCACTGATACAGTGGTACACCAGTGTTGCTACGTCACTGATACAGTGGTACACCAGTGTTGTTGCATCACTGATACAGTGGTACACCAGTGTTGTTGCATCACTGACACAGTGGTACACCAGCGTTGTTGCATCACTGACACAGTGGTACACCAGCGTTGCTGCATCACTGACACAGTGGTACACCAGTGTTGCATCACTGAGACAGTGGTACACCAGTGTTGTTGCATCACTGACAGTGCTACACCAGTGTTGTTGCATCACTGACACAGTGGTACACCAGTGTTGCATCACTGAGACAGTGGTACACCATTGTTGCATCACTGACAGTGGTACACCAGTGTTGTTGCATCACTGACAGTGCTACACCAGTGTTGTTGCATCACTGACAGTGGTACACCAGTGTTGTTGCATCACTGACAGTGGTACACCAGTGTTGTTGCATCACTGACAGTGGTACACCAGTGTTGTTGCATCACTGACACAGTGCTACACCAGTGTTGTTGCATCACTGACACAGTGCTACACCCGTGTTGTTGCATCACTGACACAGTGCTACACCAGTGTTGTTGCATCACTGACAGTACTACACCAGTGTTGTTGCATCACTGACACAGTGCTACACCATTGTTGCATCACTGACACAGTGCTACACCAGTGTTGTTGCATCACTGACACAGTGCTACACCAGTGTTGTTGCATCACTGACACAGTGCTACACCAGTGTTGTTGCATCACTGACACAGTGCTACACCAGTGTTGTTGCATCACTGACACAGTGCTACACCAGTGTTGTTGCATCACTGACACAGTGCTACACCAGTGTTGTTGCATCACTGACACAGTGCTACACCAGTGTTGTTGCATCACTGACACAGTGCTACACCAGTGTTGTTGCATCACTGACACAGTGCTACACCAGTGTTGTTGCATCACTGACAGTGCTACACCAGTGTTGTTGCATCACTGACACAGTGCTACACCAGTGTTGTTGCATCACTGACACAGTGCTACACCAGTGTTGTTGCATCACTGACACAGTGCTACACCAGTGTTGTTGCATCACTGACACAGTGCTACACCATTGTTGCATCACTGACACAGTGCTACACCAGTGTTGTTGCATCACTGACACAGTGCTACACCAGTGTTGTTGCATCACTGACAGTGCTACACCAGTGTTGTTGCATCACTGACACAGTGCTACACCAGTGTTGCTGCATCACTGACACAGTGCTACACCAGTGTTGTTGCATCACTGACAGTGCTACACCAGTGTTGTTGCATCATTGGATGGTTCAGAATTTGACGGCACACCAATAAGGAGACACTTTCCTGTTTCCTGACGAAGACATCACCGTTAGAGAGACTATTGGAATACTAACCTCATGGACTATTTGTGTAACTAGTAATGAAGTGATTACCAACTACCACACGTAAAGATTCTTTAATCACTAGTAATTAAACAGTTATGTTCGCCTTTTCCTTTAGCATTGACAACAGATTTCTCCCTATCTCACCCACCAGCAGCACCTGCAGTAGTAGTATTCTCTCTTCATTCAGCAGCACCTGCAGTAGTATTCTCCCTCATTCAGCAGCAGCTGCAGTAGTATTCTCCCTCATTCAGCAGCACCTGCAGTAGTATTCTCTCTCATTCAGCAGCACCTGCAGTAGTATTCTCCCTCATTCAGCAGCAGCTGCAGTAGTATTCTCCCTCATTCAGCAGCAGCTGCAGTAGTATTCTTCCTCATTCAGCAGCAGCTGCAGTAGTATTCTCCCTCATTCAGCAGCAGCTGCAGTAGTATTCTCTCTGGCCCATCAGCAGCTGCAGTAGTAGTTTCGCTCACTAGCGGCTGCAGTAGTATTCTATCTCACTTAACAGCAGCTGCAGTAATATTCTTTCTCGCCCAGCAGCAGCTGCAGTAGTTCTCTCAGCATCAGCTGCAGTAGTATTCTCTCTTACTCCCAGCAAAAGCAAAAGCAGACGTTTCTGCTGCCACCAACGGTAGCAGCAGACTTCACCATCAGCAGGCGCCTCCAGCACCCTACACCTGCCTTTGGTGCACCCGTCTTGGGCAGGCAGGCGGGTGATGTGGGTATGGTGAGTGGTGTGGTGGTGGGTGTGGGGAATGGAGGACGAAGTGATGGGTGCAAGGGATTGGCTAAAGAATAGAGGATAGAGGGAAACCATTGGCTTAGGTTAAGTTACGTTAGGTTAGGTTCGGACAGGATACATAACCTATAAAAACATATTTTAAGCACAAAAATTAAAATTACGGCCGTAATGCGTCTGGCAAGGTGGTGACTGGGGGTAACTAGAAAACGTAAACATCTGCACGAGTGTTACTAATGGTGCCACAATGTTTAACATTGTGGGGAAATAAACTACTTTTATTTCCAGTCATATTCCATCACACACGATGGGTTTTGCACATTAAATAATGAAATGTGTCAGCCAGATCCGAGGACCTTCAGTAGGACGACGAGGACATTCCACTATGGGTTCAGCAGCTATAGCAACTTTAACGGTTTCTTTCCAGCTGAACCTTTATTAAGTGGGAATTACCACCTCTCGGTATGAGCTGAAAGGATAGAGCAACTGGAGTGGGGGTGAATAAGAGAGTGAGTACAGGTAATTGAGAGAGTGGGTACAAGGAGGTGATTGAGAGATTGGGTACAGGAGGTGATTGAGAGATTGGGTACAGGAGATGATTGAGAGAATGGGCATAGCTAGGATAATTGAGGAGGTGGGTGTTATTTGCGGTTAACTGTACATAAATATATGTTAGTTTACGTAACCTAACTTAACCTAGAACAAAAATTATTAAATTATTGAAGGAGTGTTTACTGGGGGTAGAATCAACGAACTGTAATGCATATGAAAAAGATCTATCGATTTGGAGGCCATATTGTTGAAGTAGCCGGCGTAGGCCAAGGCTACTGTGTTGTATCACCAGCAGCAACAGCCTGGTTGACCAGGCAAGCGCCAGGCGAGGCTGACTCATGACCGGGCTCCGGGATAGAAAAACTCTCGGAACTCATCAAAGGTAAAGGTATCGCTTATTCTGAAAGCGTAGCCAGAATATCTTGTGCGAGTATTGTAAGGTTAGTGTTATCAAAGGTGAGTGGCAGGGGCTGAGAGGCCTTTGATGGACGGCGAGACTCCTCTGTTTAACCTCAGCTCTGCTGAATTGACAATGAAGAAAGATAAAGTGACCATACCAGATTAATGGATCATCCTTTACTCTGCTCCATCCACCCGTCTACTTTTCCAGTCGCTGGAGTTTTCCAGCTTCTGAATTCTTTCAGTTTAGTCTCTGTTATTATACAGTTTAATTTTGCGGGGAATAATTCTCATCATAATTCTTCCACCTTGTGGTTTGAGTTTCTGGCAGTCTTAAGTGCTGTAATAAACACGGACAACAGGCTGAAGTATACTTACCAATACGTCTCACCATTCCTGAAATCGAACCCGGGTCCTTTTGTTTGCGTGCCGACTTATTCAGGTATGGCAAACAAGCAGTAAATTTTGTCTAGAATTTGTGTGTTCATCTACCTCGTCCAGTGTTATGGTCGGCTACTTTTGGTTTGAAGAAATTTATCCAAAAATAAATCCATCAATATCATAATTTTTTGCTTGCTCCAGAGATGTGTCCTTAATAACTGGTAGAATACGAGGTATTATGTACATCATACTGGATGTACGTCATACTGGAACACGAACACGGTCAAACGAACACGAACACAGAGTAACACACACATACACAGAGGCGTGGCCAGGAGCTGTGAATCGACCCCCGCAACCACAGATTGGTGAGTACACTCTACAAATGAAGTCTCCATCTTGCATCTTACAGCATCAAACTACCAAAATAGTCTACTTATTCTAGATTTTTTGGCATATACCTGTAGGCTAGAACACCATACTATTACGAAAAAATCATCCAACTTTATCCATGTCTTTCTTCCCACCAGTGATGGTCTTAGTGCTGCTGGCAGACTGGAGCAATAAACTATAACATTAACTCTGTGCCTCTCTCTTTACCAGTGATATCTAGCACTGCCAGCACTAGCACACCAAGTTACAGCACTGACTCTATGTACCTACTAGTAATATCATATAATAGCAGCTTGGAACAGCATACTATAACCTAAACTAACTGTATACATTTCTCTTTCTGCCAGTGATGTGCCCGGTACTGTGTTCGGGTAACGGGGAGTACCGGGATGGAGAGTGCGTGTGTCGGCCAGGCTGGAAGGGCCGGGAGTGTAGCATCCGCCATGACGAGTGTGAGGTCCCGGACTGCAACGGTCACGGTCACTGTGTTGACGGTCGCTGCCGCTGTGCCAAGGGTTACAAGGGAGACTTCTGTGAGGAAGGTCAGTCACTAACATGGTCTTAGGTACGCTAGTGCTGCCTACTAGGTCACTAACATGGTCTTAGGTACTCTAGTGTTACTAGGTCAGTCACTAACATGGTCTTAGGTATGCTAGTGTCACTAAGCCAGTCACTAACATGGTGTTAGGTACGCGAGTGCTACCTACTATTTCAATCATTAACATGGTATTAGGTACTCTAATGTCTCCTAGGTGTAGTAGATAACTGTCACAGTGATCAGTCTCGTAGGTGTAGTAGATAACTGTCACAGTGATCAATCTCGTAGGTGTAGTAGATAACTGTCACAGTGATCAGTCTCGTAGGTGTAGTAGATAACTGTCACAGTGATCAGTCTTCTAGGTGTAGTAGATAACTGTCACAGTGATCAGTCTCGTAGGTGTAGTAGATAACTGTCACAGTGATCAGTCTTCTAGGTGTAGTAGATAACTGTCACAGTGATCAGTCTCGTAGGTGTAGTAGATAACTGTCACAGTGATCAGTCTCGTAGGTGTAGTAGATAACTGTCACAGTGATCAGTCTCGTAGGTGTAGTAGATAACTGTCACAGTGATCAGTCTCGTAGGTGTAGTAGATAACTGTCACAGTGATCAGTCTCGTAGGTGTAGTAGATAACTATGTCACAGAGGAAGTGCTAACAGTGTACAGTATAATGGCCCACAGAGGCCACTCAATGCATCATGCTGGGCCACAAAAGACCACTTCGTGCACCATGCTGTAAACTCTAGCATGCACGCTAACTACTCACAAGCTATGACTAACCCTTGAAGAAAAACCATTTGTACAGACACAGTATTGTGTAAATAATTCACAATTAAAACCCGTAGACTCCATAGGAGGTTAGTTCCCTACGTCAGTTAAACAAAAAAATATCAACATTTATATGTTAAAAGTGGAACCTCATAGTTCACCGAAGTCTCCGACGGCACCTTGGCAATGAGAAAAAGCGGATCCAGTATACCAGAAGTCCTGAGTAGACAGTGACATTATACAGCAGCAGAAGCAGCACCAGAAGCATCATAAGTGCGTCACAAGTTGCAGAGAGAAAGAAACAAGATCAGCCACAACCAGGTGGCCATGGGTGAGATGCGTTTGCCCTCTTCATGGGGGAATTAGTTAACCCATAAGCATCAGACAGTGCCTGAGGAATGGGAGATAATTAATCTCAACCCAGGAAAGGGGAGGATAGTTTCCATTCCTTGGATCAAGAGCTCTTCCCCAGTTTCAAGGCACGTTTTAAGAGACACTGACGGGAAGAATACAAAAAACACATCCTGGCGTAATCCCGCTCTGCAGATCATGTAATAAACAAGACCAGGATAATGTGGTAGGGGCTGGGGGTTGCCGACTGTTATCCTCATAATCTAAGTTTAAATTTAATGTTTCAGTTTAATTTAGTTAACGTGATTTCGATAATATTGAAAGTTAATGCAGCTTTTACATCTAGTTATGAATGTACATTTGTTTTAATAGGTGTTAGAGAATTATATGTTTAACTGGTGTACAATGTGTGTTTCAGTTAATTGCGACGCCTATTGAGGTGTGTGTGTGTTTTGTGTGTGTGTGTGTGTGTGTGTGTGTGTGTGTGTGGTGTGTGTGTGTGTGTTGTGTGGGGTTGGTGTGTGTGTTGTGGTTCGTGTGTACTCGCCTGCATATGGTTGCAGCTCCTAGCCCCGCCTCTTCTCTGCTTGCTACTCATTGAATTCTTTCCTGGCTTCGAGGGCCTTATCGTATCTCTTCTTAAAGCTATGTATGAATCTTGCTTTTACTTCCCGTTGTGCCTTCGTGTTCAGTTTCCCGTTCTCAAACAATTTGTCCCTATTCACCTTATCAGTTCCTCCCAAAGTGTGGTGTGTGTGTGTGTGTGTGTGTGTGTGTGTGTGTGTGTGTGTGTGTGTGTGTGTGTGTGTGTGTGTGAGAGAGAGAGAGAGAGAGTGAGGAGAGAGAGAGGAGAGAGGGGAGAGAGGAGAGAGAGGAGAGGGAGAGAGGAGGGAGAGAGGAGAGAGGAGAGAGAGAGAGGGAGGAGAGAGAGGGGGGAGAGGAGAGAGAGAGAGAGAGAGGAGAGAAAAGGAGGAGAAGAGGGAGGGGAGAGAGAGAGGAGAGAGGAGAGAGGAAGAAGAGAGGGAGAAGGGGAGAGAGGAGGGAGAGAGAGAGGGAGAGAGAGAGGGAGAGAGGAGGGAGGGGAGAGAGGAGAGAGAGAGAGGAGAGAGAGAGGGAGAGAGAGAGAGGGAGAGAGAGAGAGGGAGAGAGGGAGAGAGGAGGAGAGGGAGAGGAGGAGAGAGAGAGGAGAGAGAGAGAGGGGAGAGAGAGAGGGAGAGAGAGGGGGAGAGAGAGGGGGAAAAGAGAGAAGGAAGAGAGAGGAGAGAGAGGGGAGAGAGAGAGAGGGGAGAGAAGAGAAGAGAGAGAGAGGAGGAGAGAGAGGAAGAGAGAGGGAGAGAGAGAGAGGAGGAGGGGGAGGAGGAGAGAGAGGAGAGAGAAGGAGAGGAGAGAGAGAGAGAGAGAGAGGAGAGAGAGGAGAGAGAGAGAGAGAGAGGGGAGAGGGAGAGAGAGAGGAGAGGAGATGGAGGAGAGAGGGAGAGAGAGAGAGAGGAGAGGAAAAGAGAGAGAGAGAGAGGAGAGGGGAGAGGAGAAGAGAGAGAGAGAGAAAAGAGAGAGAGGGGGAGAAGGGGAAGAGAGAGAGAGAGAAAATTCCCATCTAGTTGTAATCACTTTTTTTTTGTTTTTAAAAAGTGGGGTCTCGGGCTCCGGGCCCCTGCCCCCTAAATTTCTGGGCCCTTCTCCTTGCTGGGGTTTTTGTAGCCCTTTTTTTCCCCCGATTGTGCCTGTTCCTGACCTTCTGTCCCCTTTCCTAATTGTATTATGAAAATTAGTGGTTAGCGGGGGGGGGAAACAAAGACAGGGAGAGGGGGGGTACGTAGATGTGGAGAGGAAGAAAAAACATAGCGAGTGTTTTTAAGGGGGCCAAGGGGAAAAAATACATAAAACACACACAAAAATTGGATGACATTAGGGCCCTCACGAACCATTTCCTGCTTGCGTGCCACAGACGACTGCCCCCACCCTACATGCTCAGGACAGGGGTGGGCGTGCCGGTACGTGTGTGTTCAGCGAGGTGGAGAGGGCCTGAATGGGGCCCAGACGGACGATGCCCCCCTCCAGTGCCTCCCAGATTGCAAGGGGCACGGACATTTTGACCAAAGAAGCCATCATGCATCTGCGACCCAGAGTGGACTGGTTTTCTGAGTGCAGTAAACGTAAGTATTTGGGCGCGGGGCCTTTGTAATAAAGTACGAGGCATCTACACCATTCTTGGAAACCCAAAGAAAGGGAAAAACCTCTTACTTTTTGATTATGACGTACGGAAAATTTTTGTCCTTGAGGGCCTTTACCCTTTAAACCTATTCACACACACAAAAAAAACTCTTAACTTTAAGGGGCATTATTCCCCCCAATTTTAAATTTTCGTACTTATTATGTTCGTAAATAAGCAGGTGGCTCTAAAGTAGAGACTAAGGCACGTACCCTCACCTGGCCCTTGATTTTCACGTCCAATGGGTTAGAAAATCTTTTTAAATATATAATTCAGGAAGTTTTTCTTTATAAACTCCAGTTTAGACAAAATTTTTTACCTTTTTCTCGGGCAATTTACCTAAAAATAGTTTTGGGAAAAAGCTAAGAAAAAATTTAAAAAATAATAAAAATAATAATAAAAAAGAAAATAAAAAAAATAATGCTTGATGAAAAATTTTAAAATAAAATAATAACCCATAATAATAATAACAAAAATAAAAATTTGTTATCTTCCTGTTTTTTAACGCCCTTTAATTAAAAGGAGTAACATTTTATTAAGAAATAATAAATTTTAACACCTGTCCCCTTTTTACTGAAGAGCATCTACTGGGGCTTATTTTGCAGGCGTGTGGGGGCCTGGATGCGGACTCCAGGGCAGGTGTGAGGGCGGTGCATCCCTTTTTGTACCCCTGGCTGGAAAAGGTTTGACCGCTGTAACCTCATGAATTGACCCCAGGTGAGAAAACACACGGGGGGGAAAAAAATGGAACTAAGTAAAAAAATATGACCAATAAAACGGGGAATTTTCCTAGGGGATATAAACCGTACAAAAAAGGTAGAGAATTTTTAAATGGGGGAGGATGACAATATTTAAAAAAAAAAGTGAATTTTTTGAGGGGGGGAAAAAAAACTTCTACTGACGATTTTTAAAAAACTAGGGAAGACCAGAGGTCAAATTTAAATTAAATCTTTTCCAAAATTTTTCCAACAAATAGAAAGATACAAAGTACGATTACAAAAAAAAGGAAAGAGTATCATTTTGACATTTTAAATTTAAAATTTAACAAAAAAACCCCAAAGAAAAATTTGGGAATCTCTTGGGGGATGGGAAATGGTGAGGAAAGTCTGTGGAGGAAATTAATGGGAAAAAAATTTCATGGCCGACAGGGATAGCCCCATCAAGGTTTAAGAGGAGGGGACAAACCCAAAATAAGGATTTTGATTGGTCCTCTTTTTTAAAGTGGGAATAAAAAGATGAATTTTAAATTTTCCACTAGAAAAAGTGAAAAATTTTCTTTTTACCTGGAAGGGATAAGAGGAGAAAGGGGGGTAGAGCACGGGAAAAAATCAGACAAAGGGGAAAAGGAAATTTTACACAAGGATGAGCGGTTTTCGGGGTTCGAGTTGCTAGGGAAGGGGACAAAAGGGAAAAATAGTGAATGTACTAAAAAAGATGGGGAAGAGTAGAAGGGCAGGGAAAAAACAAGTGGGGAACTGTAGGAATAGGGAACGAGGGGAAAGCTAGAGAATTTTTATGCTAGGATAAAGTATAAAAAGGGCCCCTTAGCAAGGAAGGGCCCAAAATTTGAAATAAAAAATTGAAGTCCATTCACATAATCCAGAATAAAATAGAAAGTGCAAGAAAAACCCACTCAGGGGAGGAGGTACTGATAAAAAAAGAAAGGGAGAATGTGAAAACTAAAAAAAAATTTGAATGTGTAGCTGTTGTTATGATCAAAGTTTGTTTGGGGGTTAGATTAACCCTAGAGCGGGAAATTTGCCAAAAACCCTAGAGGATTTTTGAGGGTAGAGACGGATTTTAAAGCTACCTACCCCCCTTCCCTTTCCCTCCCCCTGCCCCTACCCCCCCCCCCTCTACCCATCCTCATTTTGGGGTCTAAGCAAAAAAGTTTGTGTTTTAAAAGCTGGGATATTTTTTCCTGGTTAAAAATTTAAAAAAACACATCCTTCCCTTTAAAAATTCCCCATGCTTTTCAGGTGTTTTAATTTGTTAAGTAAACATTAAAGCACCGGAACAAGAGGTATAAAATAATGACAGACAATTTGCAAAACAAAGACACACAGGAAGATTTGAAAACTTTTTTTTTTTTTTAAAAAAGGTTCTGATTTGGGGCCCCTAAGCGAAACGTTTTTTCAATGAAGTGTCAAATCCCACTTTTGCTTTAAAAAACCTTTCTGCAACTGCTATTTTCAAAAAATAATAAAAATAATGGTGAATAAAAACAAATATTTTAAGAATAAAGTTTTTTTTGGGTTTAGTTCCCCGTTCTATTCATAAATTCTGCACAATTTTTGTACGTTCTGACGCTGTAGACCCCCCGGTGAGTTTAAAAGGGTTGGGTTTTTATTATAAAAATAAAATCGTAGCGTTCTGGAACGTTGCGAAGCTAACGTGAAAGATTTGAAGACTTGTGAAAATCTTTCTAACCTGCTGTTGTGGGAAATGAAATGTACGTGTATTGGGCTGATGTTGTTGTAAGCAAAGGGTTTAAAATAAAACCCCGGCTTTTGTTATGTGTGTGTGTGTGTGTGTGTGTGGGTGTGTGTTGTGTGTGTTGTGTGTGTGTGTTGTGTGTGTTGTGTGTGTTGTGTGGTGGTTGTGTGGGTGCGTGGTGTGCGTGCGTGGGGGTGTTTGGCGTTTCCATGCGGACATCACCCACCCACCCACTTCTTTTACTCCCATCTACCGGACGGTCGCAGCAAGTCCCTCAAGTTTTAATTTAAAAATTTTGCTGGCCGGGCGCCTCAAAGGGGAAGTCCCCGACAATTTTTAAAGGGGCCCCCCCCTCCCCCCTTTAAAACGAGAATAATCAACGCCCCCAGTAAGACTCAAAATTTTCCACTCAGAACGGGGTTGCCCCCACACTTTAAGCAACGAAGTTTAAAGGGGTGTTCCCCCCCAAAATGTCTTCCTCTTCGGTTTTTGCGCCAACTGCGAAATTTGTTTATCTTTTTTTCCCTTGGGTTTTACTTGCTTTGCAAACACATGAGATTGCGAAGGTGTGTTTTTTGGCAGCCCCTGATAGTGCAGCTTACGGGAAGTTTTTATGTATATCCCCTGAAGGGGCTGTTAAAGGGGTAATGTCTGCCGTGTTTGGGGCAAAAAATTTTGTTTTGGAAAAACAAATTCATTTACGCCTAACAAGATAAATAACTTTGTTTCCGTATCATCATTTGCCCAAAAATACCCAAAAAACATGAAAATCCCTCGTTAGAGGACACCCAAAAAAAAAAGGGAAAATATTAAAAATCTTCCAGGGGGGGTGGAGGGAAAAACGGACGTTCAATAAGACTAGTTCCAACTAATTTTGATATGGAAAGAAAAAGAACTCAAGAGACACCTATACAAAATGCAAAAGGAACATGACCTCTTTTTTTCCCAAAAAACACTGTGTTGCGTCAGGTAATTTTGGGTAATAAATAAACACTTTTGTCAAAACGTGCCCTCAATAACCCCCTTTAATTTAAAAAAAAAAATTCGATTCAGAATGAAAAAAAAAAAATCTTCCCAAAAAAGGGGGACAGAGCCAAAGCGCTGGACTTGCCAAAAAGGCCAAAAAACCCCGAAAGAAGAAAAAAGAAAAGGGTGGATAAAGAAACTTTTTTAAAAAAAAATTGAAAAAATGTCCTTAAAGAAATTTTTCAAAAACAATTAATTTTAAAACCCCTCAAGGGGCCCGGGCCCCTTTAAGGCCGGGAGATATACCCCAAAACTGGAACAGATATTTAGATCAATTTTCTGCCCCGCCTAGCGCCAATAAAAAAAATTTAAAAATTTCTGGAATCCTCAAAGTCTTAAAAAAAAATTTTTCACCGGATTGGAGGAGAGATCAACGTTTAAAAAGTACACGGGACGTCTGAAGGGCCCTTTTTTCCATATCTGCCCACTGCCATAAATACTTTGGGGTGAGGCTAAGGAAAAAAGTATAAAATAAAAAAAATAGTGAAAAAAAGGGGGCCCTGGGCAAAGAAAAGAAAAAATTTTATCAATAATCCCTTTTTACCCCGACCCGTTTAACACAATACCCCCCAAGTATAAGCATTGCCGGAACAAGTGTAGAAGTTTTTTTCAACAGGAAAAATTGGGGAGGGACTTCCCCCCAAGTGCTAAATCAACCCGGCTTTTAGTATATGTGGGGGCCCGTGGGCCGCCGACGTAAAAGCCCAAATTTTTTCAAGCAAGTATCAGACAACCTTTAACCCCCGCCGGGGGGGCCGCAAAGAGTTTGGGAAAAACGAAAAAACCTTCAAAAGGTTTGAGGGGGGGGTGTGCTTATACAAAAGGGTAAAAATTTTTCCCGTTTTAAATCGGCCCCAAAAAAGGTTATAGTTTACGGTTTTAAAAACATTTTTTTCTAATTGTTTGGGGCGCTGGATTTTAAAACTGAAGTTTTGCTGCAACACCCTTTTCAGTTTCCCGTGAAACAGAACCCAGTAAAACGATTTCGCCCCGACATAAACCCGGGGGAGAAGGGAAAACCCGGGAAACCAGACGCCAGTTTTATGGTGGACCCTGCTGGCACGGGGGGAGAGCCATAACCAAAACAAGGAAAAAAAAAAAAAAAACTGCGATGAAAAATTTTTAAAAGTTCGCCCCCAAAAGGCGAAATTATTGATGTAAATAAGTTTGCATGATTTGGGAAATCTCTTATTTTTTTTTTCGTAAAAGTCATTTAAAATTTTTACTGCATTCACCACAGTAAACATCTATCATAAAACCATGTATTAATTTACGTGCTTCTTTAAAAAATAAAAATAACCAAAAAATTGATCATAAAATTTTAAAAACACCTTACGCGATGGAGAATAAACAAGATCAAATTAGTGATTAACGTATCAAAGTTAACTTAAACAAAATTATAGTTTCTGAACTGGATAAAAGGTTAAATTCTGCTGTCTAATGTAATTAAGGTCTGGTCATGGACCGGGCCGCGGGGGCGTTGACCCCCGGAACACCAGGTAAGGTAGAGAGGGCTGGGCTTATGGGATAACCTCTGATCGAGCAGCGACCTAAATACATCCATTTATTCAAAATAATCACAAAAGCAGTTGTACATTAAAAAAAAAATCTACTTTTACAATCCCCCGAAGCTCCTGTGATTCCGACTATTGTTATTATGGCTTTAAAAAATGAGGGAAAACGGGAATTCATATTAACTACATTAATAATATTGTCGCTAATTTTATTTATTTGACACGTTTTTAGTTTTCGTTTTCATTTGAAATTGTTTTGTTGGTGTGTATATAATTCTCTCAATACAACAGCTAAAACTTTTTTTTTTTTGTTTTTACAAAGGTTTATCGAGTGACGCGAATAAAACTGGCAACTCCGGCGTGAGAGCTGGATGCCACATTATAAGATAGTAGAGGCAGTTCTGGCATTTATCAAACCTGAGTTAAGAACCCATATCAATCATGGCCGCTACTATTTGCCACCATTTTTCATTGGGGTGAATTTAAAGAAGGGAAAGTTGAATAAGTCAGTGGCTGCAGTTTGCTAACTGTTGGTGATAGACCTAACGGGGGACGGGTAGGTGGCCTGGTGATGATAGAACTAACGTGTTTTCACGAGATATCATCAGATCGGAAATCGGTCTTATTGAAGATAGATTTTTTTTATTCGAGTATGTAGCTGTGAATCTTTAGGTATTTAAATAACAACAATAATGGTTATCTATTGTCTTTTGTTTTTAAGACACAACAGATG